CCACGTCCCAGCGCCCGGCCTGCCGCCTCGCTGCAGCGCTCCGTGTGCTCGGGGCATCACTGCTCCCTGCTGCCGCAGCTGCCTGGGGAGCCCTGCGCCCACCACGCACCCAGCACGGGGGTGAGCACAGGCTCGCGGTGCCAAGGGCTGCGCTGGGCCAGCACAGGGCACAGGGACCGGCGCATCCCCATGGAGGGGCTGCCTGGCTGCTCCTGCCTGCCCAGGGCAGTGCCCCGGTCTGCCATCCCCCTCAGGCCAGGTGGCAGCGCCCGGCAAACCCAAGTGCTGGGACAGAAAACAAAGCCCTGTGGGGCTCCTACCTGGGCGCCCCGTGCAAGGGGCAGCACTGCACACACGTCCGTGTGCACCCGCAGAGTTGCRTGTGCCTGCATGCCCGCCGTGGCGTGCCCGGCCGTGCCCAGCACGGTKCATGCATGCGTGCAGCTGCACGGGGAGCTGCCTGTGCCACGTGTGCGGGGCAGCTGCAGGCAGGCAGTGCCGGCACCCGGAGGAGCCGGCGCTCGGGGCCAGGGCCACGGCAGCGCGCAGGTTTGCGGGCCCCGGGGAGCCCAGCGCCGCTCGTCGTCTTGGCAGGCTGCAGCTGGCTTCCTGCCCGTGTTTGTGCTCCACACCTACCGGTGGCAGGGAGGGCACTGGGAGCCAGGCTGCTGTTTGTGCTAGTAATTACCGAGGCGGTTCCTCGCGCCGGGGTGAGACACCCCGCTGCGATGCTGATGCCTCCGTGGGCCCTGCGTGCACACAAGCACCGGCTGCAGGCGGCACGGCCAAGGGACACGGCGCGTCCCGTGCAGGGCTGCTCCCACGGAGCCACGGCAGCACAAGGACACGCGAGCGCCCGCTGCCCGTGTGCAGGCTGACAGGCTGTCCTGGATCCCGCGGGCGGGCGGCCGTGCGCACGGCGGGATGCAGCGGGGAGGGCAGTGTGTGGGCTGAGCTCCGTCTCGCTGCTTGTCCCCCGGCTGCAAGGTCTGGGGTAAGGAGAGGAGCCCTTCTCGCAGCATGGAGGGCCTTTCCCAGCAGGTCCTGCTTTGTGCAGGGCGGCAGTGCCGGGCCGCAGGCGCTGCCCACTGTGCTGGCGAGGGACGCGCTGCTCCTCGCTACGCGCCGGCCTCCCTCCTTCTTGCCCTGCTCCACGCTCGCCGGCCTCTGCATCCACGCAGCTCGCACCGCGGCGCTGCCCAAGGCCGCCGCTCGCTCTGGGGAGCAGCGATCGCAGCCAGCTGGGCCTCACCAGCCGCGGCATCGACTCTCTGGAGACCCCCTGACTCGGTGCCCTGGCGGGTTCCAAGCTGCATCCCAGCTCCCCAGGGCCGGGCGGGTGCCGGGGGGGCAGCTCCAGCTCTGCAGGCCGGAGTCAATCCCGCAGCGCCCCAGACAGGCCCCGCTGCCTCCTGAAGGTTACAAGCCGCGCTCTTGAAATATGCCTCGGCAGGTTCCCCCCGTAATATTTTGGCTCTGTATCGATCTCCGCTGCCTGGCCCTGCTTCCACTGCAATTTCGGGCAGTAAATCAGCGCGGCGCGGCCCCACCTCCCCGCTCCCCATTGGCGGCGCGGCCCCCCGGCCCCCGCTCATTGGCCTGCAGCCGGGCGCCCAGCTTTACATAAAGCCCCGCTCGCTAGGCTGGACTTGTGCAAAGCCGGGGAGAACCGGAGCGGGGACGGGCGCTCGGCGGCGCCCGGCCAAGCGAGCGGCTGCGGGATGCGCGCCCGCCGGCGCGGGGGCACCGGGCACCCCCCCTGGCCCGTGAGTAGGGAACCGAGCGGCCTCCCTTCTTCCCTCCCTCGGCCTCCCTTCTTCCCTCCCTCCTTCCCTGCTTTCCTCCTTCCCTCGCTTGGTGCTGCCGGCTCCCACCGGCACCGCCAACTTTGCCGGACACTTTTGGGTGGCGCGGGAACTCGGGAGGCATGTGAGGGACATGGGACAAGGGCAGCCATGGGGAAGAGGATACAGGCGCTGGATGGGGCACAGCGGGCTCGGGACGATGGAGCAGCGGTTTCGGGAGCACCGGGGCGATGCAGGGAGCAGAGGGATGGGGAGGGAGGGGGTGATTTCTGCCTCTGGGGCAGCTGTGCTGGGTGTTTCTAAGTGCCGGGGCAGCTGGAGAGGGGCTCCCGCTGTGCCCCRCTGTGCCGGCCCGTGGAGGGCAGCAGCCGGACCCCAAGGAGCCGCGTCCCTGCGGGCTGCGCTCGCAGGCTGAGGTGCCTGCTCGTCTCCACACTGCATTAGCAGCTGCTGGCTGAGCCCCAGGCGCAGGGCCAGCTCCAAGGAGCCCTGTGCGGCTCCAGCCGGGCACCGGGGCAGCCACGGGCCCATCGCTGGCAGCGGCCAGGGGCGACCGCCCCGTGTGGGGCAGCAGACACGGGCTGCCGGGGGTCACGGTGCCAGGGTGCAGCCGGGGCAGGCGCGTCCCTGCGGCTCTGGTGCTGCTGCAGCMTCCAGGACAGGTTGGGCCCATGGCACTGCTGCACCCACGGCTGTGGCAGAGGGGCAGGMGGTGACCCTGGCTGCACTCGGTGCAAGAAGCGATGCCGTGGGGCACACGGTGTGGCGGTGCGCRGGACGTGCGATGGCAGGGGTGGCCATGGCCCAGGACGGGCTGCTGCAGCGGTGCAGGGCRGCACGTTGGGGAGCACGGCCCTGTCCTGGCATGTGGGGCAGCCACGATGCCCCCGACCATAGGGCCGTGAAGACCTGCAGGCCCTGGGTGGCAGGGAGGCGCATGCTGGTGCTCGAGGCTGCACCAGCCGCRGGGTCGGTGGGGTCTGGGCTCCGAGCGGCTCGTGCACGGAGAGGGCAGCGAGGGCCCTGGCCGCCCATCCCCAGGCATCCCTGCTGGGCACCGGTGCCCGGTGTGGCRCGGGGAGCCGGGCAGGGCTCGGTGCTGAGCAGCTCGGTGCTGAGCGGGCTCCGCGTGGCCCCACGGGTCCTGCGGCAGCCCCAGTGGCCAGGCTGGTGGCAGTGGGACGGGACGATCCGCGCTGTGCCGGCTGCGCTCCCAGCGTGACSGCGGCCCCAGGGGTGACCTTGTCACACGGTGCCGCACCAGGGGCCAGACCTTGTCACCAGGGGCCCCATGGCCTCGAGCCTCAGGTGGGGTCTCCTCACGGCTCCTCGGTGTTGTCTATCAGCAGCAGCTGGGAGAGCCGTGGGGCCTTTCCCATCCCCAACAAGAAAACCTGGGCTTCCCTCCTCCTTTCCCAAAATGGCCTGGCTCCGGGCCCCACAGACCCCGTCCATGGCACCAAGCACCGGATCCGCAAGGAAAGGCCTTTTGTCTCCAATCAGGAACATTGTTTCCTCCTGGAAAGGCTCCATCCAGCTTGGAGGATTTCAGCTGCAGCTGGATGGGGCGGGGGGGYACCTGGGGAAGGGGCCAACATGCAGAGAGCCGGGACAGGGGAAACCAGGCAGGGAGAGCCCAACTGCCCRCCTGGGTACAAGGGGACACCGAGGGGAGCGTGTGACACTGCAGAGCAGGCAGAGCCGCCGTTCAGCGCTCCCACGGGCACCTGCTCCCTGTGCCCGTCCCTCCGTGCATGGACAGCTCCTTCCCGGCTTCTCTTCACCCAGCCTGGTGTGGTGCCGCAGGGCAGGGGACAGCGACAGCCCTGGCCGAGGCGCCTCCATTGTGCTCGGATGTCCACGGTCTGTGTTGGCCTCCCCGGTGCTTCCCAGTGAAGCCCTGTGCCCACCATGCCTGTCTCTGGAAGGGCATCTCTGCCAGGGAAAGTGCCAGCGGGAATGTCCCCCACCCGGCATCCTYGCTGCTCCGCACCAGGGCTGCTGGACACGGAGCGGCTCCCGCTGCTCCCTTGGCTCCCCGGCTGGTCCCGGGCACGGGCTGGCACGGGGGAGTCTACAACCCTGCTGGGGCTATTCCCGCATCAGGGCGGCACGGCCAGGAGCACCCAGGGAGCGGTGTTCCCAGCCCAGGCAGCAGGGTCCCTGCCCCGGCCCAGGGACACAGGAGCAGGGCCTGATGTTTTTGCCCCGCCTGGAGCCCGGCGCAGCGGTTGGAGCCCACGGAGAGGYAGGGCTCAGCGCTGGGCTCTGCTGTTCACAGGGCACTGCCTGGTGTGTGGCGAGGGCGGCTGTTCCGGATGCCACCTCACTCGTCACCCGCACTAGAGCCAGGTCAGAGCCAGCTCCAAGGGCTCCGCAGCCCTGCCAGCAGTGCTGGCAGGCTCCATCCTCCGCAGTCCAGGTTAATTGAGCCTCTCCTSCCAGTGTCCTGTTCCTCCGAACATCTCCTTCCCTTCCCCTCGCTTCCCTTCCCTGGCTGCATCTGCGCACGGGCACCTTCCTGCCCAGCCTGGCAGGAGCCCGGGGAGGAGCAGCGGGAGCAGGGCAGGGAGAGCCAGGCACATCCATGTCCCCTGGCAGCACATCCTCCCCGCGGCCTTTCCCAGCTCCAGAGGATCTGACCAGGGGATGGGGCAGGCAGCTACCAGGCTCCTCCGGCCCTGCCAAGAGCAGGGGCAGTGGTTACCGCTCCAGCATGCCAGCACCGGGACTGCTCCGCATGCCACACAGCAGAGCGAGCTGCATCAGCTTCCCTGCCACCCACTGGGTTTACGGTGAGGGGCAGCTCAGTCCTGGCTCCAGCCCGATCCCGGCCCTGTTCGCAGACATCCTGCTGCCCCGAGCTGCTCCTCGCCTGGGGAATAGACCTGTACCCACTGCTGGGCCCGCTGGGAAGATCCATGCACACGAGTGCCCGGGGCTGCAGCAGTGCCAAAATATTTGGGGCTGCAGGAACAAGGGCTGAGGAGCTGGCCGGTGGCACCGACAGGGATGGGTGATAGGGGCAGAGAGACCCCTTTGCATGTGCAAGGGCAGTGAGGGCAACCAGGCACCTTGGCACAGAGGAGCAAGGAGCTGTGCCCGGCCCCGAGGTCCCACATGCCCATGGAGCTGGAGCCGGTGCCGGAGCGGCTCCTCAGAGCCGAGCGAATGGCTCTCCCGCAGGTGCCCAGGATGCTGGCGCTGTGCCTGGCCGCCCTGGCCTGCCTCGCCGAGGGCTCCCAGCGCGGCGAGCCCATGTTCGCCGCCGTCACCCAGCGCCTGCTGCCACCCGACTACGACAGCAACCCCACGCAGCTCAACTACGGCGTGGCCGTCACCGACCTCGATGCCGACGGCCACTTTGAGATYGTGGTGGCCGGGTGAGTGAGGTGGCGGTGGACAGGACAGCAGAGCTTTCCTCCTTCCCCCACAGAGCTCCGTGTTTGCTCCATGTTTGAGCGGGTGGCTGCGGCACTGCCCGCTGCCCGGCTCTGCTTGTTGGGATCCCCACAACTCTATCCCCTTACYGTCCCCGCTGCCTGCCGACGGTGTTGCTGGGGTCATTGCCGGGCTGGAATGCGCACAGAGCCAGTGCCAGCTCCCCTGTCCCGGGCCTGCCGACCCGGTGGCGCAGGCGGTGGCAGCTGCCCCGCGGCCGGGCCGCCCCGCAGTGCRGAGCAGCGTGTCCCCAAGGCGGCTCGGCTCCGCTGACAGCACTCAGCGCTCTCCTGAGATTCGGTTAATTGGCTGGAGGTTTTTTATAGCCCTTTATCGGTGTGATGGCTCGGAAGGGCTGCCAGCAGCCGGCGAGGCGGGGAGCGCGCGCGCCCGCCGCCCCAGYGCTCCCCGCCTGGACGCGGAGCAGCTGCTGCCCCGCTGCTCCGCTCCCTGTCGGCGACGGCAGGGTGGGCGCCGGGCTCCGCATGGACCCGCACGTGCGTTTGCACCCTGTGCAGGGTGCATGCCAGCCAAGCAGCACCTGAATCCAAACGGGGGGTCACAGCGCAGGGTCCGGCACCCTGGGYGCAGGGTCCAGCATAGGAGAGAGCAACTCTGGGTGGGCTGAACCGAGCAGGGCTTGCAGCCAGCAGCGGTCTGGCACGCAGCAGCCGTGCCCGTTGTGTAACTTGTTTGTTGGCACGCAAGGCGGGAGCGCTGTGGGGTGGGAGCGCCATGGGGCCGGCACGTGGAGGGTTTGGCTCCACAGCCTGCCCAGGCAGCAGCACCGGGGYGGCTGCCGCTGCTCACACCACTGCCCTGCAGCTACAACGGCCCCAACCTGGTGCTCAAGTACGACCGGGCACTGGGGCGGCTGGTGAACCTGGCGCAGGATGAGCGCGGCTCCCCTTACTACGCGCTGCGGGACCGCCAGGGCAACGCCATCGGCGTGGCCGCCTGCGACATCGACGGCGACGGCCGCGAGGAGATCTACTTCCTCAACACCAACAACGCCTTCTCCGGTGAGCCCCGCGCACAGCCGCCCGCGGCCTTGGGCGCGTGAGCGATGCGCGCCGGCCGCACTTAATTTCCCACTCGAGTGGCTCCATTGATTGATGGCAGTGCGGGGGGGACGCCGAGCCCGGCCGGCCGCTGAGTCAGCGCTTCCTGTGCCCTCTCGGCCGTGGGGCCGGGGCACCTGCGAGCACCGGCCTCCCCACGGCTGCCGAGGACAGAGCGGGGCCTGAGCCCATCCCGCCGGCGGTGCCGGTGCAGCGGCCGCTGCTACTGTGCMGAGGATGAGGATGGGCAGCCCTGCCGGGTCACTCTGCCCCGCTTCCACCTTCCCACCAGCTTCCCCTGTCCAGCCGTTTCCCAGTGCATCCCCCCAGCACAAGGTTGAGCATTCCCGGGGCTCCCCCAGGCCACGCAGAGCATCCCGGCCCCTCTCCGCCATTCCTGCGGCCCAGCCTGCGCGCGGCGGATCCGTCTCGCTGACACTCCTAATTACCGGGGCTGGCGGAGGCTGCCGGCGCACCCGTCCCTAAATCAGCCGCTGCCACCGGCGCTGTCACGGGCAGCGTGGCTGGCCGCCGGCGCCTGGCACCGCATCGATTTTGCCATCCCCGGGATGATGTATGGGGCTCTGCCCCGCCAGGGCACATTTCACCTTAATGAGCTGATTCTTCTGCCCGTCTCCTGCCAGCCCTCGCAGGTCACAGGGGCTCCTAGAGAGATGCCCAGGGATGGAGCAGGGTTTGGGGAACTGTGCATGGCAGGGAAGCACCATGTCCCCATGCTCCCTTCTCCATGAGGCTCCCTGGTGTTGATCCCCGCTCGGAGCAGGCTGAGTGCCAGCATCCCTGGGGGGACCCAGGTGTCCCCGTCCCCCCCCAGCGACCCCCGCTTCCCCTAGGCATGGCCACCTACACGGACAAGCTCTTCAAGCTGCGCAACGGGCGCTGGGAGGACCTGCTGAGCGACGAGGTGAACCGGGACGTGGCCAGCCGCTTCGCCGGGCGCTCGGTGGCCTGCGTGGACAGGACGGTGAGCAGCGGGCACTGCCGCCCGTCCCCCCGCCAGGGCTGACAGGGCTCCCGGCCCCCCCGGGCCCCGGCCGTCAAGCCTCCAGGCGCCCGTCCACGCGGTTGCCGCTGGCTGATAAACGCGCCTGTCGGGGTGATTTATGTTGCTGTCACCTGCTCTTTCTTCTTCCTCCTCCTCCAGCAGTTTGTTTCCCAACGATTATCACTAAATCAGGGACCAGCTGCTGCAGAGGATGGCGGGGGGYGGTGGGCACCGGCGGGGGGGACCCGGCGTGCCGAGGGAGCAGGGTGCACCGCTCATCTGCAGGGACAGGGACCAGCAAGGGGTGATGGGGCTGGTTCCCCGGGTGCATTTGGTGGTGGTGGTGCTGCCCAGCCTGGCCTCGCTGCTGTGGGGCACCGAGTGCCAAGGACCGGGCGTCCCGCGCACGCGGAGCCCATGGAGCGGCTCCCTGCCCGCGGGCCTGAGGAGGTGGCGCTGGCCCGCAGGGCTCGGGCCGCTACGCCATCTACATCGCCAACTACGCCAGCGGCAACGTGGGGCCCCACGCGCTGCTCGAGATGGACCCGGCCGCCAGCGACCCGGCGCGCGGCCTCGTGGTGCTGCGGGACGTGGCCGCCGCCGCCGGCGTCAACAAGTACACAGGTGCCCGCAGCATCAGGCCATACCGGGGCATACCGGGGCATACCGGGCCGTACTGGGCCGTGCTGTGGCTGCGGGCAYGGCGGTGCTGCACGGCTGCTGCCTGCCGCACTGCCGCACTGCCCCATCTAGCGGCAGCGCGGGGCCCACGGGCGCCCACGCTGGGTCCCACGGCACTCACATGCACAGGGAGATTGGAGCGGGCGAGGGCAGAGCGGCTGCGGGGCACCCCTGGGTGAGGAGGGGGGCACCMCTGGGTGAGGAGGGGGGCACCCCTGGGTGAGGAGGGGGCGCCTGGAGGGATGTTCGGGGCGGGATACAAGGAGGGGGATGCATGTCCATGGGGTGCTGGGACCTGGTGGCGGGGGGACTCGGGGTCCCCATGGGGTCCCTGCGGGCACCCTCCTCACCACCGGGCCGGCYGTCCCCAGGTGGCCGCGGGGTGGCCGTGGGCCCCATCCTGAGCGAGAGCGCCTCCGACATATTCTGTGGCAACGAGAACAGCCCCAACTTCCTCTTCCACAGCCGGGGCGACGGCACCTACCGGGACGTGGCGGCTGCCGTGGGTGAGCCGGGCAGGGGCGCGAGGAGCCAGAGGGAGGGCGCTGGCAACYGGTGGCTGCGGGGGCTTGGCGGGAYGTGGCCRGGCATCYGTRCGTGCCACGTGGGCTCTGGCTGGCCTGGGGAGAGGGTTGGCTCTGCCRGGCGTGATGGGGCTGCCCGTGTGCCCCACCGCCCGGCTGGCTGCCCCCAGGCCTGGACGACCCCTACCAGCACGGCCGCGGCGTGGCGCTGGCCGACTTCAACCGCGACGGCCGCCTCGACGTGGTCTACGGGAACTGGAACGGGCCCCACCGCCTCTTCCTGCAGGCGGGGGCCCCCGGGCGCGTGCGGTTCAGGGTGAGCAGGCGGGAAGGGGAGCGGAGCCGCGAAGCGGGACGCGGTGCCCACGCCCGTCCCTTGCGCAGGACATCGCCACCCCCAAGTTCTCCATGCCCTCCCCCGTGCGCACCGTCATCGCGGCCGACTTCGACAACGACCAGGAGCTGGAGGTCTTCTTCAACAACATGGCCTACCGCGGCTCCTCCGCCAACCGCCTCTTTCGGTAGGAGCCCGCGGGCCGCGGGGGACCCCGGGGACGGCCCCGGCTCGCAGGGTCAGACCTCACCCCGCTGTGCTCCGCAGGCTCGTCCGCCGGGAGCACTCGGACCCCGCGGTGGAAGAGCTCAACCCAGGGGACGCGCTGGAGCCCGAGGGACGGGGCACGGGTGGGAGGCCGGACCCGCGYGGGGGTCACGCTGCGGCCCCCTGCCGCCTGCCCCCACGGCGGCAATGGGGCCGGCGGGCAGGGACAGCGCAGGGCATGGCCTCCTCCTGTGCTTGCAGGCGGTGCCGTGACGGATTTTGACGGGGACGGGCTGCTGGACCTCATCCTGTCCCACGGCGAGTCCATGGCGCAGCCGATCTCYGTCTTCAAGGGCACCCAAGTGCGTCCCGCCGGGGCGGGGGGCGCCCGGTGACGTCCCCGTCCTGTCCCGGCTGCCTGTCCCGGCTCACCGCCGCGCTGTCCCTCCCGTGCAGGGCGCCGGCAACAACTGGCTGCGCGTGATCCCCCGCAGCCGCTTCGGGGCGTTCGCGCGGGGCGCCAAGGTGGTGCTGTTCACGCGGCGCAGCGGGGCCCACCTGCGCGTCATCGACGGCGGCTCGGGGTACCTGTGCCAGATGGAGCCCGTGGCCCACTTCGGACTGGGTGAGGTGGTGGGGACAAGCGGGACCCCGCAGCCCTGTCCCCCCCGGTGCTGCCGCGGTCGCCCAGCGCAGCCTGACGGGCCACTGGTCGCAGGGCACGACGAGGCCAGCAGCCTGGAGGTGACGTGGCCCGACGGGCGCGTGGCGGTGCGCGCCGTGGCCAGCGGCGAGACCAACTCCGTCCTGGAGGTGCCCTACCCSGCRGAGGCCGAGGGGCCGCCCGTGCCCGCCCCGGTGGAGGTGAGGGGCTGGCAGGCAAGGGGCTGGGCTCGGCCGGCGCTGCGGCCGCCCCGCGCTCATGTCCCCTCGCCGGCCGCTTCTCCCCCGTGCAGTGCGGCCAGGGCTTCTCCCAGCACGCGAGCGGACGCTGCGTAGGTGAGCGGCCGTGTGCCAGCGTCCCGGCGGCGCGCGGGGCTCGCGGGGCGCCGCCACCTCCCGGGCGCCCCGGTGCAGCCTGGCAGCAGTGCCCCTCCGCCCGCAGACACCGACGAGTGCGCCGAGTTCCCCTTCGTGTGTCCCCGGGACAGGCCCGTGTGCGTCAACACGTACGGCGGGTACCGCTGCCGCGGCCACAAGCGCTGCGGCCGGGGCTTCGAGCCCAACGAGGACGGCACGGCGTGCGTGGGTGAGTGAGGGCGCGGGCGGCCCCTCCGGTGCCCACCGGGCCCGTCCCGCCGCCCGCGCCGCCACCACGCAGCCCCCGCGCCGCCCGCCGCCCCCACTGACATCCCCTCTCCCTCTCTCTCTCGCTCCTTCTCTCCTCCTCTGTGCAGCTCAAGTGGCCTTTTTTGGGGGATACCCCTCCGGTGGGAGCTGGCCCCGGCCCCGCCGAGGTGCCCTCCTCCCTCTAGGCCTGGGACTCTGCCTTTGTCTCTATGCACTTTAACCCTTGCCCGTATTGCGCCGGAGCAGCCTTGGCGGAGGGGCCGCCCGCCGGYCTCTGCCCGTCTCTCTCTGTCTCTCTCTCTTTCTCTCCCCATGCCGAGGCGTCCCGCAGCAGCCCCGCACGCGCCGGCTGCGCCGCCGTGGGGCGGCCGCCGTGGGGACGGGCGCGGAGGAGCCCGCCCGGCCGCAGAGCCGTGCGGGTCTCGCCCCCTTGCATGTTTTCTGGGAAAACAGCCAAGGCAGCGCCCCCCCGGCCGGCACCTCCCGGCCCGAGCTCCCCTCCGCGGCAAAGCCGGCGCCTCCCGGGGCGCTCGCTTGCCCCGTCGCCTCGATACTGTACCATGTGCCTGCTGGTTTGGCCCGCGACGTGTGTGCTTCGCCCGCCCCCTCCTCCGGGACGGGGACCCCCCTCCCCGGCCCTGGCAGAGGGGGGTCCCCCCAGCCCTGCAGGGGAAGGAGCCCCCCGGTTTGTTTTTTAATGTATGGACCCCACTGTTTGGAGTCGGACCCTGCTCAGTCTTCCAGCCCCTCTCCCGGAGACCCTCCCAATAAATATATACCGTCTATTAGCCCCACGTGCCGCGCGATGCAATGGGAGGACACGCGCCGAGCGGGCCTGGGGCTGCCGAGCGCAGCCGGCTCTGCAGCATCCCTTGGGGTGTGGGATTGCCCCATGTACCCCGTCCAGGTGCCCCGGGAGGGCCCCAGGCGGCCGGAGCGGAGCTCAGCAGGGCGAGCTCTCGTGCAGGGCTCCTGCCTGGCCCCGCTCCCTGCACCCCCCCGCACCGCAGGATGAAGCAGGGCAGGCGCTGAGGGCAAAGCCTGGCCTTTATTGTGGGAAGTTTCCATGCGGGTCACCCCACAGGCGCTCCGGAGGGAGCCCACGGGGTCCAGCTCTCCCACCAGGTCCCCGGGGAGCAGCAGCAGCTCAGCCCAGCTCGGCACCCAGGCAGGGGCTCTGCTCCTCAGGGCGCTGGAAGCCACAGGGACCCTCCCCACCGCGGTGCCCAGCCCTCCCCCAGCCTCCCGCCTCRCAAGCAGCCGTGGGCACCCTGGGCCCAAGCTGGCAGGTCCGTACGGCCCCGCTGGGCCAGGCCAGGCTGCGCGGCCGGCTCAGCTCGGAGGGCTGAGCCACGGCACCCTGGCAGGGCGGGCAGCGCCCTGGGCCTTGCTGTCGCTGTGGGGCAGCTGCGCAGGGGCTAAGGGAGCAGGAGGGGAGGCATCCACGTGGCAGCCCCGTGCCAGGGGTGCCGGGGGTGCTTCACGCTGCAGGGAAGCCACAGGCACATGCAGGACACGCAGCAGGGAAGGGCTCTGCAGGACGAGGCTCCAGCGGGCACCATCCCATGGGGGGCAGGCTGGGGGGCAGTGGGGACGGGGGGCTGCTGGCAGCCAGGAACAGACCCCAGCTCCCCGTTCAGCCTCTGCCGCGCGGGGCTGTGCGGGGCTGTGCATGGGGCCTGGGAAGAGCATGGTACAACTGCGGGAGCCAGCCCAGTGCAGGGCACCACAGGGCTGGGCGCTGCAGAGCTCACTGCCCGTGGCCGGGGGGTCAGGGCATCCGTCAGGGCCCGGTGAGCAGCATGGCAGGGCTGGGGGACATACACAGCACCGTCGAGCACATGGAGCGGCCTCAGGGCTTTGCCACATGCCCCGAGCACCGGGCAGAGCGGCTGAGGCTGCCCCGCGGTACCAAGGGCAGGACACGAGGCGAGGGGCAGCAGCAGGGCCAGCAGTGCTCACGGGCATGCGGCCAAGCCCCCCTCCCTTTGGCGCTTCGCAGCTCCCTCTGCACCCCATGCACTGCGCTCAGGGGCCGCTCCAGCAGAGCAGGAGCCTTTGCTTGGGGCAGAGGCCGCGGCACAGGGCRCCCAGGGCAGCAGACCCCAACGGCACGAGTGGGCTCAGCAGGCGGCACCGGGGGTGCCCCAGCCCGAGCCCCTGCCCGCAGTGGGGCCGAGCAGGCCAGGCCGCACGTTGCAGAGGGGCTGGCAGCCCCGGGTCCCCATCCCACCCACCGGGGCTCAGAAGCGGGTGCTCTGGTAGTGCAGCCTGCGCATCTCGGGGAGGCCGCTGTCCCGGCAGTACGAGTCCCCGCAAGGACTCCCTGCCAGTCACCGGCCCCCCAGGCCGCCGCCGCCGCTGCTGCTGCTGGAGCTGCCGCTGCTGGAGCTGCCGCTGCTGCACCGGTCCTCGTAGATGGAGATCTCGATCTGGGCCCCCACTAAGGAGCAACACCAGGCACAGACCCGCCGTCCTATTGCCCCACTCTGTGGCCAGGCCTCTCCATCCCTTGTCCCTGTCCCCCACTGCAGCAATATCCCCCCGTACCCCTTCCCACTGCACCCTCAGCATTCCAGAGGATACGACCCTCATGCCTCGCTCCAGGGGGTCAGTGAGCAGCAGGCCCCGCGGAGCGTAGATCTTCTCATTCTGCTCCTGGATGTACTTGGAGATCTTCTTCAGGACCTGCGGGCGCAAGGACAGACCCTGAGGCCTGGCACTCTCACTGCCAGCCCCGCAGCAGCCACATGCTCTGCCCAGCTCCCGCTCTGACCACAAACCCCCCCTGCTCCCCTAGCATTGYGATGGGACTTGTAGCCCCTGCCCGAGCACTACCAGCACCGCCCAAGCAGCCGTGAGCCCTCCCCATGCCACACGCCACCCACTGCGTGTCTGTGCAGCGAGCTGGTGGCACCTGCACTGAGGCCACATGGCCATGCCCACCCCAAGCCCTGTCCYGGCCCCAGCACCTTCTCGTAGTGCGTCTCCATGCAGAGGAAGATGAAGTAGGCAGTGGCGCAGGCCAGGCACCCCTCCAGGTACGAGCTGCCCCCAATCTTCTCCGCCTCGGCATAGAAGCTGTTAAGGGTCTTCACCGTTTCCTCRAAGAGCTGGCGCTCGATCTAGAGCAGACATGGGTGAAGCCCAGCCCAGGCAGCGGCCGAGTGTGCCACACTGTTCCTGTCGGGCGGACTGGCCCTCTGCTCCCTCCTCAACCCGTGTGTCAGCCCCGCGTCCCCGTGCACAGCCCACACCAGGGCCAGCTGCCCCACGCTCTCCTTCAGAGCCTCCRGGGCACCCAGAGCCCCAGGCCCACACGGGGCAGCCCCTCGCCCACACCGAGCAGGCCCCACGGCACCTCCACGCACACTCACACCGGCCCTACCCGGCTCTCCAGCTCRGGGGGGAACTTGGTCTGGAACTGGCACGTGGTGCCCTCGCTGTAGTCGCGCTGCACGAAGACCTTGGTGGCCAGCGAGGCGCTGCGYCGCAGCTCCTGCAAGCTGTGCACCTGCAGGCAAGGGGCGGCAGCGTGAGCACGGGCAGCCGGCACCCCCGGCACGGCCGAGCCCTTCCCTGTCCTGTTCTGCTGATGGGGAATGGGCTGATCCCAAGGGAGGCGCCGGCAGGGGTGGCAAAGCGGGGCTGGCAGGGTGGTGCTGCCGGGATGAGCTCTTCCCTGACAGGCCTGGGGGTCTATATCAGCCTCCGCAGGGAGCAGGGACAGAGGGGGATGAAGGCAGGGAAGCTCTGCTAAGCRCTTCCCCTGGCACGGCGTGGGGCCAACTCCCGCCACGTGCCCCACAGAGCCTCTGCCCCTGTGCACTGGGAACGGCTGCCCGGCTGCTCTCTGTGCCAGCCCCACAGCAGGAACTCTGGCCCAGAGCACCCCCACAGACCCCAGCTCCATAACGACCTCCCCACCCATGATCGCAGCCCCACACCGACCACAGCTCCACCCCAACCCCACCACTCAGACCCCCCTTCGCCGCCCAGATCTCAGCCCCATAATGATGCCTGCACCCCTGGCACCCTGCAAGACCGCCAGCCCCACACTGCCCTCCTCACCCAGGCTCCCCCCGCGGACCCCAGCCCCACACCGCCCCCCGCAGGCCCCAGCAGCCCCACAGGCCGGCCCGCTGGCAGCCCGTGCGGCCGTGGGGCAGAGCCGCC